ACAGTACGAGAGCTGCTCTTTCCAACAGGTGAAGTTCCGTTTTGTAAATCTGTGTTGCCACGCGGCAGCACTTGTGGCTGCTCTCAAGCCACTTTTTTTCGGCCGGATGCTCTAGACTATTCTTCCCATCTACAGGTAGAATCGTTTTTCGGTTGGAGGGAAACAAACACAAGCAGCACAGAAGCCATACTACAATGTAGTAGTCATGTAGTTTCGACTAGGCCTTTCATGCCATTACTTTTCAAGTTGAATACAGCAGTGAATCAGCCCTAGGTAGAGTCAAAATGACATGACAGTGCAGCATGCACAGGTAATGCTGAAGTTCAACTCAAGCTTTCTACCTTAGTCTAACAATAGCCTGCTGTGCCAGGGATAATACAAGTCTAAGAACGGAGAAGCTACTAAGCCCACGTATGCATCCGTCGATTGATCGTGTCTGACATTGCATACAACCAGTACGAGCATAAGTCATTGCATACAACCAGTACAAGAATAAGTCATTGCATACAACCAGTACGAGCATAAGTCATTGCATACAACCAGTACGAGCATAAGTCATTGCATACAACCCCTGTGTTTTCCTGTGTATGACGCCCGTGACAATTGCCGCTGTGCCTCGCCACCAAAGTAGCACCCACGAATGTGTGCGCGCGCACGTGTGTGTGTGTGTGAGTGTGTGTGTGTGTGTGTATGTATTTAGTGTGTGTATGTGTGTGTGTGTACATGGTGTGTGTGTGTGTGTGTGTGTGTGTGTGTGTGTGTGTGCGTGCGTGTGTGTGTGTGTGTGTGTGTGTGTGTGTGTGTGTGTGTGTGTGTGTGTGTGTGTGTGTGTGTGTGTGTGTGTGTGTGTGTGTGTGTGTGTGTGTGTGTTGAATGGTGTAATCCCAGCACAAGTTGCTATGTCTAACATAGCTGTTCGCTATCATCGCTTCCGCGATGGGCAGGTCTGAGGTCTGAGGTGTGTGTGTGTGTGTGTGTGTGTGTGTGTGTGTGTGTGTGTGTGTGTGTGTGTGTGTGTGTGTGTGTGTGTGTATGTGTGTGTATCCCTGCACAAGTTGCTACGTCTAACATAGCTGTTCGCTATCATCGCTTCCGCGATGGGCAGGTCTGAGGTCTGAGGTGTGTGTGTGCGTGTGTGTGTGGTATGTGCAGGGGGGGGGGGGGGGGGGGGGAGGAAGATAATCTCACATTACAATAATATAATCTACGTTTCCAGAAGACATTTGTATCGTGCTCCTCACACCATCCAGGCATGTTACCTCAGTTAGCGTTGGGCCGACTACGAGATCCATGCTAATGGACGCTGTGGGCACTTTTTCGTCCTCCATGACGGCGTAGTCAGGCGAGGTGGCCTTTGTTGCGCTGCTCCCTGACGTATTTCAGCAAACCACTGATGGTATCGTCTGAATGCAACTACTTGAACAACAGAATGCCAAAGATGGGCTTCGCTAGGAACTGCAGGACCACCGTACCGCCACTAGTCTACTTCTCCACGCACGTGGCCTTGGATTAGCTGAGAGTAATGCTCCGCCAAATCACCACTGCTAGCTACTTGTTAGCTTTCATCACACCTTTTTAGTAGCAATGCACTCACTACGACACTAGCAATATAACTCAAACAGTCAAAGATCAAGTGCAGGACAAAACCAAAAATGATTAGCTCGAAGTGCAGTGCACGCGGTAGACCAGTACATACAGTCATGTCAGTACATGGTTTATGCAGTGCATGCACACTCACGCTAGTCACGGTGTCACGATGAGAAGCGAAGACTGGATCGGAGAGTAGACCATGGTAGACCTACGAGTGGATCATGGATCGGATGAAAATCGTAGATCTACTGCCGTAGATCTAGTACTCGTACTGGCTCGCGCGGTGCAGATCATATCACGGGTGCCCGGTGGCGTGTCCGCTCTGCATTGTGCCTACACTACAGACTCAGTAGACATGGTAGATGTACCATGATTGTGTACAGTCATGATTGTAGTACCATGCCATACAGACTCAGACAGGGTCAGTAGGGGCGCTACTCCGAGTCGCATATATGCCTATCTGATGTGACAGTGACCATGGTGACACCGCACTGAGTCTGTGTGTGTGACTCTGTGAGCGTGTCAGCGTGACCGGCGGGCCACTCATGCCAGTCATCATGTGATTCATGGTCATGGCAAATAAAAAGGCTAGACTGGCAGTGACCATGGTGACAGTGAAGAGACTAGAAACCAGCCAGGCCTGCAGCCTGCAGGCCATGCGCCAATGGCAATGCCTAGGGAGTTGGAATCGTGAAAGCCTGTGAAAAATCTACGTCTACATAGATTTACGAATACTGAAGACTTCTCAGTAAAACCTGCATAATAACCTAAAGACCACCGTGAATAGCGACCAGCCTGGTACTACCGGCCATTTCGCCAGGCATGGAGGGTCTCGCATTCAAAATGCACAGTGACTAGCGACTACCCGCTGAACGGGACCAGCGGCCGCCTCATGCACTGTCCTGGGTCATCGTGCACACCACGTTAAAATTTCCATGAACGTGACCGGCGTCCTGGCCAAGAAAAGGAGACAAACCCTCACGCATGTTGCTTCGAGTCGATGGTAACCACCTTTATATTTAGATAATAATCCTCGGAATCTCTATATCTGTATCAAGAATGAGTGAAAATACATGAGATGCGCGAACTAGACCTACTACAAGCAAGCAGCTGTTCCAGAAAGCAACCAGGGAAACACTGGAGTCCCAATGCAGTTCCTGTGTTAACATAAATCCTAAAATGGACTCTAGATGTCAAGTTTTCAAGTACGTCGGGTGATCATCTTTGGATCACAGTCTCTGTCAGTGTGTTCAGTTTTATCGTGACAGGCGGTCTCTACGAGCTTCAGGTTGTTCTTTGTAAATAAAAGACTGAAGAAATAGTCGATGTTGACCTCATCGCGTCCCTTGCTTTGCACCACATGCTCTGCAGCTTTGCGGAGGTTCGGTAGGACAGAGCGGGATTTCTCAATCCTGGACAACACAGACAGAACATAACAAAATATGCAAGTTTTACGTGCAAATTGTGTATGCAAGGTATTTTTTCCCTCTCAGCCATCATGAGCGCATAGACCTGACAGCTTCTCAAGACACACTCCACCACGACGGCAGCTCTCCCATTCACAAACAGCACGTACATGTAATTTCACTGTATACAGACTAGCCGACAGCAACAGTAAAACCGGTGATTCAACTTCTTTGTAAGCAAAGTGTCATGCCGGTAGATCATATCCGGCTTGAAAGCAATGATGTCAAAAGTCCAAACATAGCTGCTCTCTGCGGTCAAATTTGATCCACTCGAACTGCAGATTAGTATGGTACTAGGTGGGTAGGTCCATCACACGATTTTGCTATGCAAGCTGTAGTTGCCAGACCCCAGGGCTCTGCCTAGTTACTACAGCCTTGTACAGTAAGATTTGTCACCCTGGTGCGAAAGAGACCTCTCCAAGCGTGCACGGGGGTCCATATGGAAACGGATCCGAAAGCAATCGTTGCCGCCATTACTCCGGCCTGGCTATGACATGCATATCACTTTCATGCCGCTGAGTCCATTGACTACTACTACACCGTGGTGGACCGATTGAAAACCGTTGAGAAGTCAAGCGGCCTTGGCCTTGCAGCCGTAAGCACTCAGTGCTAGTCTATTTTAGGGGTCAAACGGGTGTACCTTTAACTAACGAACGGGTGATTTTCTTAACGGGCGGGTTAACGGGTACCCTTTAGCAGCCATATTATTTTTTTGCGCATTTCTCACATAAATCATGATTTTAATTATTCTCAGGTTGTATTTTGATACTACATTATGATTCGCAATTGATTCGTGTATCAAAATATTATTATGGCAATGAAGGTTCCAAATGAATGTCATCCGTGCATTTGCCCATGTACATAACTTCACAGGCAGTAACTTACAATCGTACATGTAGATGGTCCTACAAGCTACATGTATTTTGATACACTACGCAAATCAACTGCAGATCGATGTGATTCAAGCCATGCAAGGACAGAGTGGTTTAGCAAAACTTCCGTGATCTCGCGCAATCCTATTTGCTATGTTCGCAGAGAACTGGTACTCGTTGCATTCAGAAGATGTTCGCGCCCATAGCTAGCTGGGGTGCCTGACACAGCTGATGTGCTGCTGGCCAGCTAGCTGCTAGTGCTAGCTTGTTGAACTCGTGAAATGAATCTTCACAAATCCGTAATCTTGTATGCAATATTTCGAACTACTTTTCAGCTCGTCGATTGAAGGAACAAACTACAACCATGAGTATCATACATGTAGCTACCACCTACGGACATCACCGTTTGTGACACTCCGACTGGTCACTCAGCCTGGTGACACTAGTTCATCAAGTACTGTGGCAGGTTCGATGTCGGAGAACCATCGTAACTTTCTAGTTACTCAGCTGCCACCTCGAACGAGTTTCAAGTCTTGCATTTTCTCACATCACAATCAAAAACCTCCAGTACGAGGATTTTTACTTGCACTAGAGTGGAGAGAACAACTGTCAAGTCTGTCTTTCAGCCTGCTCCTGCCTGATAAAGTCGAAAGCGGGAATGTACAGGAAAAAGGAAAAGAGTATCCGCACTCCTATGTTGAGTCTTGGAATACGATAGGATGACCTTTTTTTTTTTTTTTTTACAAACGGGTACCCTTTTACTAACGGTACCTGAGATTAACGGGCGGGTACCCGGAACACCCGTTTGACCCCTAGTCTATTTTTACAGTGTGATCGTGAACTAGAGTGCGTGTACGCGGCGCTAAGGCAGTGAGGGTCCCGGCCCTGGTCATTCCACCGCATCTCAAGGTCCACAGCAGTAGTTTGAAACACAAGCGCAGAAGCAGAATGCATGCATCGCCATACTCACACATGGTCCAGATTCCAGCTGGAGAACTCAATGCGGTGCTTGCCATTGTTGTATGGATTGATGACACTCTTGTAGTTACAACCGTCCTCGTTATAGATTCCCTGGCAGAAGAAATCACCGTCTCTATCACAAAAGCGGTGCTCTGCATTGGTACGATCAAAGTAGCCCTCAAAGTAGTTCCGGGGTTTGAGCTGGTGTGTCAAGTCTTGGACTGCCTGCTCCAGGACGGTCTTGACTGCTTCAGGGTGCTTGCTCTCCGCACTGTAGTCCTTCACAAAGCTCTTAGTCACCTTTAGATAGCCGGCAACACGACCTCGTGCCCTGTCCCTGCACACACAAATGCAATAAAAAGTCAAATTGCATGGGACACAAAGTTCTTGTTGTGATCGAATTCTAGCGTGAATAAGTATACTGCTGTGCCGAGTTGCCAAAGATATAGACATCCTGAAATCTGATCTCAAGACAAGATGTTGCACGCATTGCTCTTGCACAAGGGATGGTTACCACACCAGCAGTAATTCCTTACTTGATGAGTAGATAACTGTGATGAATACCACTGCTGAATGGATTTAGCAAAAGGCTGAGAGCTACGATAACAATGTTCTAGCCAATTGTGGGGGGGGGGGGGAGGGGGGAGGGGGAGGGGGGGGGGAGGGGGGGGGGAGGGGGGGAGCAGCCCCCCTCCCATTCTGATGAAGCCCCCCTCCCATTCTGATGAAGCCCCCCCCCCATTCTGATGGACAACCAACAAACTCATTTAAAAAAAAAGATTTTTGTGTTTTTCAGTTCACACAACGAAAGTGCGGTCATAATATATAATTATATCGATTGTTTCAGGTGCAGCCCCCCTCCCATTTTGATGAAGCCCCCTCCCATTTTGATGAAGCCCCCCCCTCCCATTCTGATGAAGCCCCCCCCTCTCCCATTCTGATGGACCACCAACCAACTCATTTTTTAAAGATTTTTGTGTTTTTCAGTTCACACAACGAAAGTGCGGTCATACATCGATCGTTCCAGGTGCTCTGTGCACCTGTACGTTGCATGTCTGATGAAGCCCGCCCCCCCCCCCCCCCCATTCTGATGGACAACCAACAAACTCATTTTTTTAAAAGATTTTTGTGTTTTTCAGTTCACACAACGAAAGTGCCCCCATGTTCCAGGTGCAGCCCCCCTCCAATTTTGATGAAGCCCCCCCCCCTCCCATTCTGATGAAGCCCCCCCCCTCCCATTCTGATGGACCACCAACCAACTCATTTTTTTAAAGATTTTTGTGTTTTTCAGTTCACACAACGAAAGTGCGGTCATATATCGATCGTTCCAGGTGCTCTGTGCACCTGTACGTTGCATGTTTGTGCCACAGCAAGGGTGGAACATGGAACAAAAATGGGTGGGCAGTTTGTTCCCCCTCCAATCATTTTCCTGGCTAGAATCCTGGATATTATTAAATCGAACTCGGATTAAAATCTTAAATCGAACTGGGTTTTTTTTAAATTTCTTTTCGTGATGTCCTCATAAAGCTACAGGAGTGGTGTTACCTCATGAACTTTTCCTTCGTTTTGAATCGATTGGGAATGTCGATGAACCAGTCGGGGTCTTCCTCACGTGTTGACACATGGGCCGTGCTGGTGGTGAGGGTAGCGACACCATCCACGACAATACTATGCTTGGCGGAGCGATCGCGGAATTCATCGAGTTTTCGGCTCACGTCCTCCGGGTGTGAGTCGTGAAGCTGACCCAGACGGTTCTGTATCAGCATGAGCTGTCGCAGCAGGTCTGGAGCAATAAATAGTTAATAAATAAAAATTAAATAAAAAAAAACATGAGACCACCCCAGTTACATGACTCAATGCTCAAGACATGATTTTTGGCACGTAAGAGCCAAGGCTAGGATGACGTGAAGTACATGTATGTAACAGTTTGATCAGGATAAATTGAAACAGTTCATGGTTCATATTCCAATTGAGGATGATTTTTGGTTTTATGTCGCAAATCCAAACGGGAATTTCTTCCCAGTAACAAGGTAGCGAAGAGGTAAGGTATAAGAGAGGGAAGAGGTGTGTGTAAAATGTGTGTGTATGTACTGGAAATGATAGTCAGCTGGAGTTCTGTTTTTCCTCCCGAGCCAGGGATACCACAAACCTGGGATCAAGGGTATCAGAAGAAGTTCTCAATGTCCTAATGTTGTGGGACTGCGGTCGTAGAGAGGACCTTTATTTCAAATTTTTGGAATATTTTCTACTATATGTACAGGATTTGAGTGTCGACAGAGCAGTCAAACTTTCTGGGAAGTTGAAAGAAGCAGTTGAGTTGAAAGTTATTTTTGGTTTCTTGCTCGTATTTTGGTTTGCATTGGTCTGCGCACGCCATTTTACTTGCCGATAGTAACCACACAGTAAGTACTGTAGCTACATAGCACCGGCCCGGTGTTATGAGAAGAAAGAAAGAACTTTTCGGATTGCAAAGTAGCTTGCGAACTGAAATTCGGAATCTGGAAAATTCGACTCACGACAGTCGGAAAAATTTCGAAATACGAAATACAGAACCTTTCCAACGATCATGAACTAGCAGCTTTCGTAAAGATGTACGTCGACGTCGTGCTGCATGATTGATCGGATTTCGTGGATCCTGGGCTGGTTTTACGACAGCAGTGCACTGCCTTATCGACTCCACTTTTCTGCCATGCCCCGATCATGATTGAAAATTGAATGTTCTGGCATTGAGAAAAAAGTGTGCAAGTGTGCAGGTCTATGTCTGCAAAATAGCATGATGTGTGCCCGATGTTTTTGATTATACTGACAACACAGATCGGACTAGCCTTTCTTTATTAAAATTAATAAGCTCCTACCTTCAGTACTGTCATAATTCTGGCCTTTCGGAACTACAACAAGGTGATTATTCGGAGGCTTCAGTTCATCAGAAAGGAGATACTCGTCATCATCAATGATCGTGTTGTCTGATGCTGTTCGCAGGGTGGCTCCTCGAGGACTCAGTTTGAGCTTTTTACACGCCGCCTCCAGAACCGCGTCCAGGGTAGCATTGGCAAGAGACAACCCATACCGCTGCTCCGGCTTGTCACACAAACTCACTTTGAATGTGCGTTTTCTAGATTGGGACATAGCAGCTAAAATATCTACTCGTATCGCCTTTTACTTTTACTTTGCATGTACCTAACTAACGGTACTGTCGACTACGACTGTTCGGTTCAAGCAGCTAGCAGCTGCTCGAGCGAGATGGGGTGCTCTGTCTGCACCTACCTAACATAAACTAAATAATTAATTATTTTAGTAATTACCTCTACTTTGGTCTGCATAGTCGATCGCCGGCGCGCCATGCATGCATGATCACGTGCTGAACACCCAGACAAAAAAAAATGAAGAGGCTGTTTTTGCTTTATTTATACTGACAATTATTATTTTAATTACAGTCTCGTCTAACTACATGTACGTGATGTACATACGTATGTCATTGTAGGAACGGTAGAGCCAGCATTCTTGAACGAGCGAAAGTCAAGGTAGATCGAGGCTTATTGCCATTGTTAGATGGTGGCAGGTTTAGGCCAAGTAAAGGAATACAGTGCGATAATAACGGTGTATTCTTAGTCCGTGCAAGAAGTACTAACTAACTTGAACTAAGTGCAGTGCAGGCATCAAACTAGCGTTAGCGACTGGAGACGCTAAATTTGTCATCTCATCCATCCATTTTGCTGGCTATAGTACTTGTCAAAATAGTAGTTTTCTGTCTCAGTCCATGATCCAGCACCTCTGCGGAAATGGCGTTGAACAAGCATACTCAACTCACCCTGGTAGTGTTCGCCAGTCTCATCACCTGTTTACCTGACGTAGTTCTAGCTGACATGCTGGTTATGGTGAATATCAACTATGAACACGTTGCTGCCCACACATCTGAAGAATTTTTGTCACTGGCCATTGATGCAAGTGAAGTTGATCGCAATTTTTCTGGCCTTGACCTGGAGTCGGAGAGGATGATCAATATTGGCAAAGCACTAGCTCCAGCTGTGCTCCGGTTTGGTGGCACTGCAGAGGACTATATCACGTACAATATGTCGGACTATTCGATAAGACGGGGGTCGTATCCGAATCATGGTGGGAAGCCGTTGGATAATCAGCACTCGTCTCTGGGACTGGATAGAGGATATACGTCTGAGCAAACAACCATGACAGCAGGACAGTGGGACTACCTTAACGAGTACATGAAATCAACCGGATTATCTCTAGTGTTTGGTTTAAATGCACAGAAGCGCAACGAAAACGGTTCGTGGAACATTGACAATGCAAGAGAGTTGATTGAGTACACGAAGAAGAAAGCATACCAAGTCAACTATGAACTGGGAAATGGTAAGAAATGATGGACATTGTGGAGCTCTTTGCCGGTGTAAATATGTTACTCTGTACAGGAGGCCTATCTGCAGGAACCGTAGAGTATGATATTGGGCTATGCAAAGCTATCTACCAAAGTAGCCCTATGGAGAAATCACACAAAATCTCTGCGAAATCGCAAAATCCGATATTTTTCGGAGCAGCATACTGGAGGATGATGCGCATATACCCCCGTAATAAATGGTCATTTCTTGCTCCATACATCGAGAGGTGCTGAAGACAAAAAAAAAAACAGACCAATTTTTTTGGTATTGAGCTACTTAACAGACCCACAAGCGAATAACTTGCAGCAAGAACACCGTGTAGTTAGATTGGCAAATAGAGGTGGCGTGGACCTTCTATTATCCGTATTGCTGCTGCTTTGGTGTTAGCCGGTTCTTGGTAGACTGATTGTGTGGACATTTTAGCGGAGATTGAGACATTCTAAAGCTCAGTAGATGTAATGGAGTAGGTGGAGATGGTTTGTGGCTGGCAGGCAGGTTTGGCCTTCGGAAGATGATGTTGCAGACTCAATTTCACGTCACTCTTTATGCACCAATTGAGTAACTAACTCCAGTGATGGGGCACCGGCAGGCGTTAGAAGAGAAGAGATTAACCAAATGGTTGCTATGGGACCCGCAAGGTTTCTGACACTTCCTACAGGCTACTCCCCTTGTCTAAGCAGAGTGTTGTCCACCAAACCGGTGTGATGGATTGGTTCACATTCGAAGCAGCACACTACAGGACATAGGAGCCCATCGGCACAATCAGGGCAAGAACTACCCCTATGCAAATGTGTGGGAACTGCTGCTTGTGTTTAGCTATATTGATAGTAGTTATGGTAGCATGAATGATGGTGGTCATGGCAGTAGTAATTGACTGTACATATGCTAGTGGTTATGGACTATGGTGGTCAATTTCATGGAAACCATGTCTACCTGTGTTTTGCCGGCTTGTGTTTTGCTAGAACCTGACCTGTATTATGAGCATACTGGTGAACTTGTTGTCAGTGGGGGTCAGCTGGCGGAGGACTTTAGAGTACTTGCAAATTACCTGAAAGACACCACCGAATCGTACATATTGGGGGGACCTGACGTTGCAACGCTGGACCGTGGACATTTCTTTCAGACGTAAGGATCTCACTGTACGGTTCCTGTGCGGTTTGCTGCTTTTTGTCATTGCTGCCACCTCTATCTTTCTATGTACCTCTTCTGCTCACTCATTTCTATCCCGGCACAATGCTTTCTTCTACCTGCTCTACTGTGGCTACTTCCTGGTACTGCTACTGCTGCCACCTGGCATGATCCGTGGTGCTCTCCTCCATGTGTGATGTGCGGTGGTATTCATTATTCAGAACCTGATACATACTTTTCACATAGTGGCTTGATCACACTGAGTGGCTCACGCGTTGCACTGGACTTTGCACAGCTTGGTAGCTACTTGCAGGCCACTGGCTTCAATGGAACGCTGGCTGGACCAGACCTCTCCAATCTTCTCACAGGATTCGTATTCATGATAGAGTGAGGACTTGGATGGGACTGTTAGAGTGGCATGGCTTGATGTGGCCATAGGGTCTACTAGTGCAGTAGAGACACAACTGATCATGTTTATGTGTGTGTGCAGCAATTTGCATTGCGTAAGGGCAGCTGGTTACCGCCAATCGTTCCGAGCAGCCATTTCACTACAGCTTGTATACATGTCACCTGTTTTTTTTGTATGGGCTGCTAGACTACCATCCCAGCAGTATGATTGACCATAGTGTACTCAGTTTTCCAAGACTCACGGCAACACGAGGAGTGAGAGTTTGGAATGACATTATAAAATTGCCTTTGGTCTGATCTAGTATTTCCATGGAACACGACACAGTGCATTCACCTTGCATTGCGTGTTTTTTTGTCATGCTGTGTTCTATGATGACTCTAGGTTTTTGGACAAGACCGCAGAAATTGGAGTCGGTCCGAACGTGATAACCTGGCATCAGTAAGCGTGTGGGTGTGAACTTGAGTAGGCTAGCTACGGCCCGAGGGCTAACCTGAAGGCCACAAGCAAGCCATAAGGCCCTCCCTGCCATGCACTAACCTATAATTAAAGCTCTTTTTAAAATAGTGGACATTTATAGCGGATAGTGGGCACCGTAGTGGACACCGTAGTGGACACCGTAGTGGACACCGTAGTGGACATTAGAGCGTGACTTGTAGTTCCTTTGTCCTTTTCTTTGCAATAAATTAAATCGACACATGCTTTTTAAATCAGTTTATCCTCTATGACCTACCAGTTCATTTGCTTAAAGAAATCTCTTGTCATTTCCTGTGATTGCTTGCTAATAGGTACTATGGAAGTGGTCACACATTCAAACTGGAAGATTTCTATAGTGCCGATGTCTTGGACAAGCTGATTAGAGAGCTTGGTACAGTGGAGGACATGCTGGAGGATGCAGGTCTGCATCATGCCGAGATGTGGCTTGGAGAGACTTCCAGTTGCTATGATGGCGGGGCGCCGGGGATATCAGATAGATTTGTCGCCGGATTTATGTAAGTACATGTACCCCCCCCCCCCTCCCCTCATTTAATGTTTGTTTCTTACGCAAGTGTCTTGTGGTGTACGTACACTAATGTGGATCGTGTTTGGTATTTTGAATGAAATTATCATTTTCCAAACATTACGGTCTCCTGCAACTGTAGCACGACGTGAGTGCATTTCCTATAAATCATGTTATGTTACTGATCCTCACTGATCCTTATGCACAGATATACAGCATTCCCTCACCAGTGGGACCATTGTTATTAGGCTAGGGCCTGTTTTGGACTTCCCACTCTAAGTAAAGAATATTATTATTATTATGAACAGTTTCGCGTACTTGAGGACCAGCCTCTTTCCGCCTCTGTGTTCCTGAGCAATAGAAGGAGAGAGACAAAACTATACTATTATGATGATGACAAGGGAAGACATGGACTGCAAGGTACGGTTTACAAATCGACAATAAGCAAATAGCACTGAGAAGGATGGGCAACTTCTGTTTCGTCAGTGTTCACTGTGCGTTTTTTACGAAGGCCTTCCACACTTGCCTGTCGGATGCCTTCTGCCGGAGGCTCTGCAGATGCGGGCTCCTCTTGAGTGGAGTCACCCAGATCCAGCAAGACTGCGTCCACAGACAAACGCCACTCAAGTAAAGAATACAAACAACAAACAGTGGCATGGTGTTAGTGCTGCTACTGTGTTTTCAGGCAATGGCTGATTGACGGGTACAAGCTGGTGTGAACATAGCGGCTAAAGTCACTTAACAAGCACCATGGATATTATGGTTTAGAGAGGTGATAGAACCAGCGCAAAGAAGAGCAGCCAGAAACAACACCATAAAATGCATAACCTTGCCGTATACATAGAAGGAATGACAAAAAGGTGCAAGTTTGAGGAAGCCTATCAAGCATGCATATTTGCGCTCGTATTACCTCTCTGCTGTATCAAGTACATTGCTCTCGTTCAATTTATTTTTGCCTGTAGGTATGCCTTCGGATGTCACTGAAGTCCAAAAGACAGTAACCATGTATATTGGTCAGCACAGCCGGCTTTTCTATACCATTAGCCGATGATCTCAGCGGCCCACTCCAGAAACTACTAGCTACCTTAGTGCTCTTTGTCTCTTTCTCATTCTGTTTAATGCCGTCAACTCCTCATCCTCCCTATCCTGCATGTTTGTATGTATGTGGCTGTGTGACAGGTGGCTGGACAAGCTAGGACTCACAGCTCTCTACAACTATACACGCATCTGTCGGCAAACGCTCTGGGGAGGATCGTACAGTCTGATAAACTCCAGCAGCGGACTGCCTCTACCAGTGAGTAAAAACCAAGAATACATCAGTGGTGTCGCACGCCACCTTTCGGCCAGGATGGTCCGCCCAGAGCGCCTGTACTGTAGAGCGCTAAACCGTGCCCTGTTGGCCGAAAAATTCGACCCCCCCCCCCCCCCCCCAGCCCTGTGGTGCTCCTGCACAGAATACTATGGTAGCGGACATGGAAATCCAGTCGATTGACCGGGGACAGCGCCCTCAGCGGGTACGTGTACAGAACGCTGCGTGCAGTGCTCATGTTGATCCGATGCGACCAGCACGCTGCGGCGCACAAATGCATGTGTGTGCCGCTTATCCACGGCTGCATGGCCAGCGCCCTGGGGCCGCTTGACGTGCAGCTGCAGCTGGATTTCCATGTCCACGACAGTAGTACGAGGTGAAGTGATGCAGGTCTATCATGACTCTGGAGGTGAAGTGATGCAGGTCTATCATGACTCCGGGGCACAAGTTAGTATACAAGTGTCACATCACTCCTGTATATTCCACTCTCGTCCTCTGCACTCTGCAGGATTTCTATGCATCACTTGCGTACAAGCAGCTCATGGGTGACAGAGCACTGTCAATCCAAGGTCAGCTGGAGCGGGGCAGGAAGGTGCGAGTGTACGCCCATTGCACACGCATCCTACCCGGAAGGTGGGTGTGGGTGTGCAAGCATGTGTTGCTCTCTGGCATGCTTGTTTGAACAATTCTGTTCGTCATGACCTCTAAAAAACCCGACGACAATTCTATCAGTTTCACGGCCATACCTACTGGAATTGTTCCTGTGCTCTGGTGTAGCTGTGCAGGTCAATTATCCGGTGAAAAACCAGCCCTGCGTATGTTGTGTGAATTCATCATGACTTGTACAGGCGTGATGACATCGGACTGTAGTCTATGGACCGTGTAATACTTTACCTACTACTAGGAGTGTTTGGTGTGTATTTTTCGTAAAACCGTGTACAACTGGCATGAGACTGATTTCCTAAATTGTATCATTTTTTAAATTCACTTTGTAAACCAAAAGTCGAATCAGGCTCTCGACAGTTCGTCAGCTTAATCGGACTCGTTCCAACTGAGCTTTCGCTGTTGTCTTTAAAAAAAACTTCCCTTCTTTTTGCCCACCGCTTTCTGTGTGTTGTTGTTGTTGTTGTCCAGTGAATACAAACCCGGCTCTGTAACAATCATGGCAATGAACATTGATAGAGATACCGATGCACAGATGAGGCTGGACAGTCGCTTTGATCACACCGTAGTTGCGCAATACCTTTTCCAGCCGGTGGATTCTACGCCCACAAGCAAGTAAGCTGTGTAAAGTTATCCTTTCAACAAATATATTTGCTGCTTGCCGCTACTGGCAGTCCAGACGACATGTATATGCAATCTCAATTGTTTTGGCTCGTTGTGCATGCGTGTGTGTTCATATTTGGCGGTTGTAGGTGGTTTCCCATGGATGTAGTTTGTAACTGTGCTTGGCTCCCAAATGTCCACCACAACACGTGCTCTAATAGCACTCACTGATTAGTGATTAGATGGATACAGTCTTCATTTAGGTGGAGTCATATTCCACTGATGTCTTAGCCACTCCAAGGATCTTCATTCTCACTAACTGGATGTATACATGTGTGCGGCTTCTCTCAACAGATATGTAATGCTGAACCGTAATGTGCTGGGACTGATTGAAGGCAAAACAGTGCCTACACTGCGGCCCAAGCTGGTTGTCATACCAACCAATGGTACCATCCAGGTCCCTGCCATGTCCTACGCATTCTTTGTACTGCCAACCGCCAACGCAACGGCTTGTATGTAATCGCTACAGCACTACAAGTAACATTGACAGCATGACGAGTGTCATAAAGAACCATCCATGACTCCAAACAGCACCAAAGGGCTACTACACCGACCAATGCTCTCGAGTCATAACCCAGCGCAATGGATCAGCTGCAATCAAAGCCTAGGCAAACTCCATGAATCATGAAAGCAACTGCCCAACTCATTCTTCTTCTTTTTTTCAAGTTTAGCATACTGCAAAGTAATGGCGTATTTATAATTTTATCTCCACTAATTTCTCTACTAATGTGTGACCGGCTAGCCGCTGAGTACAGTGCTTGATAATGGTAGAAGACCTGATAGTCGCGCGGCACGCATATATGCGGCTCATATAAAACATCGAATGAGGGCCATGCATCTATCGACAACGTCGACTGAGCCAGTGCGACCCGTCCAAGTGAAGTGGCTCCACTTCCCAAAGAGTCATGTTGAGAAGTAGAATACCATTCCTATTGTTGTCTACACATCTGGTCGCAGGCGACCTCTGTGCTTTCTGCAACAGACATTAATAATGTCTGCTGTCTTATTTGCCATCTGATTCGAATGAAAAAACAAACATGTATCCATTATGTTTCAGTGCATTTGGTTCAATTTTAATGACATCATTTCCTCTTTCTACTTTGAAGTGCTTTAGCCATTGGCATTATAGCCATATCCGTGGAAGCCTTGAGGAGAATAGGTTTTCTGGTTGTACTGCTATGCCTGACGGCTGAGTAACCACCTCCTGAGGCTTCAGGGCTGCTTGGATGTTGCATGGAACTTACTAACGTGTTCAGTGTTTCAGAATGTACTTCGCAACTATTAATTCTTCAAATTCCAAGTGGCCCAGGATTGATGATTGTGAGTAGTGTTACTGTAAATAATAAAATTATTTTTAAAAAGTACGCCAGACCCACCAGGTTCACTTCCCCGACTGATCCTTTGAATTTGAAGTTCTCCGAATCCTTTCAAGAATTATTAAATTATACAAAACTTTTCATCAGCGTTCGAATTTTGGCGTTTTGGTTCGGTGCCGAATACCCGAAATTAAATTGCTGCAAAAATGTTGTATTTTTATTTTTGAAGTAGAACTTCAGCTGTATTACGAAGTAGTGGTTGCGACTTCGGCGATGATTTGTAAGAAAGGTTTGCTCCCCACACCGGAGCTCGCGCTATTCCGCCGACTTTACTTGACACTTGACTGACTCACGACTGCCATCCAGAGCACACGAGAAGTCCATCGAACCTTCGACTCGGCAAACCTGTATCATCGCCGAAGTCGCAACCACTACTTCGTACTGTTGTGCCCAGCGCGGGCTTGCGACTAGTTGGTTTGGAGGTGACAGCGTTGCGAATGACCGAGGGTCCTCGACGTCTGTCTCACCGTCCAGGAGCGACACTGACTCACGCTGCTATCTGGTGTTCACGAGGTGTTTATCGCGCTGGAAGCGGAGCGTCTCTGTAAGTTTGTATCCCTGGTGATGTTTGTGCCTGGAGAGCACTATATAAGTGGTGCTCTTCAGGCACAATCTTCCTCAGCCTACTCAAGCTCAACTGATGAGGGGTGAATTCCCCGAAACACTGTGTATTGAGCAGGGAGTGGTGCTTTCTTACAGGTTTGCCGAGTCGAAGGTTCGATGGACTTCTCGTGTGCTCTGGATGGCAGTCGTGAGTCAGTCAAGTGTCAAGTAAAGTCGGCGGAATAGCGCGAGCTCCGGTGTGGGGAGCAAACCTTTCTTACAATACTGTATTACTACACTGTAAGACTACCAGTATTATCAGTCCTCAACTATTACCTACATTGTAGGCTCAAGTCAGACACGATCATCAATCATGATCATGATCCTAGGTAGATCTACCATGTATGATGTAGTGCACATCATGTGGCACATACATGGCATGGCTGGCTGATGAATTTTTGAATAGAAATATTCCACGAAACTAATAATAATTATAACTATTACTTTTAGTATTACTTCAAGTGACCATGGTGACAGTTACAGTCATGTCAATAATGATACATGGCCTATGCCATGCCTATGGTCCTTATGGAGTATGGGACATCAAAACTAAAGTACAATCATACACAATGCTACTAGCAGTAAAGATTTGACAGATCGTCCGGAAAGACGAATGAAACGAATGATGACTGCGTCAAACAGCCGCTAATCATAATAATACATACCGGTACGTGTAGTTACAGTTCGCATGTCACTCATGCCATGGAAGGATCGATGAAAACGAAATCCAGGCAGAAGAGCCAACAAAAGGCATCTCATTATTGTTAGAACGTATCTATCTAATGTTACTCAATAATTGGCTGAAATTTCGTTCTAATGTTACTCAATAATTGGCTGAAATTTCGTACCGGCTAAGAAAGACCTTCCGTGAACGACACCGGAGGTTACTAACGGGAAGGGAAAGGAGCCAGAGCTAGAGATTGATCCAGGCCAGGGAATACCGCGCTATGCGTTTGTGTTCCTGACTGGAGATGCGCTGCGCACTGCTCTAGTCCGCACGGACGTCTGCCAGGGATATGGCATACAATTACTATTCTCAACTCATCTTGTTGCTGTTTGCTGTCATCGCGATATACTTGCCTGGCCCGCACAGTGATGTTCTAGCTGATACTAATAACGTTGTAAATGTGAACATCGACTATGGGCGTGTGGCTGGCCGTACTTCTGAAGAATTTTTATCACTGACCATTGGTGCGGGTGCAGTTGGTCGCAATTTTTCTGGCCTTGACCTGGAGTCGGAGAGGATGATCAATATTGGCACAGCACTAGCTCCAGCCGTGCTCCGGTTTGGTGGCACTGCGGCGGACTATATCACGTACAATATGTCGGACTATTCGATAAGACAGGGGTCTTATCCGAATCATGGTGGGAAACCGTTGGATAATCAGCACTCGTCTCTGGGACTGGATAGAGGATATTCGTCTGAGCAAACAACCATGACAGCAGGACAGTGGGACTACCTTAACGAGTACATGAAATCTACCGGATTATCTCTAGTGTTTGGTTTGAATTCACAGAAGCGTAAAGAGGATGGTTCGTGGAACATTGACAATGCAAGAGAGTTGATTGACTATACGAAGAAGAAAGCATACAAAGTCAACTATGAACTGGGGAATGGTAAGTGATGATGAATATCGCGGAACGTTCTGCTTTATTGGACACATATGTCCTTTGTGGAGGGTTGGGGGAGGGGGGGGGGGGGGGCAGGCGCGTGCCACGTATGGGTTCCTGGGTGCCCGGAACCTCCTTTTTTTCGCTCAAAATGCAGGATTTTGCTTCATTTTTTGAAAAATTTCCCGGGGCCCGGGGAGACCCCCGGAACCCCCCCCCCCCACTTTTTGAAAAATTTCCCGGGGCCCGGGGAGACCCCCGGAACCCCCCCCCCCCACTTGAAGGGCACCGGCGCACGCGCTTGGGAGGGGGGGGGGGGGTGCTGCAAAGTGTATACATTGTATGGTGCCTCCTGGGTTTCCATCACACAACTGGGAAGGAATGGAGGATGTTCAATATGGATTTAACTAACTATCTTGGCGACAGGCAGCTTATCGGGGACGGAAAAACTACAAATCTCAAGCTATTCATCACCGTCGTCATTAATTATTAGGACTCCGAAATTCATGAACCAGCTTGTGTGGTTCTGGTTGCTTGTAATTCGTTTGAAGAGAATGCCGGAAACTGGTTCATGAATTTCTGAGTCCTTATTGATAATGATGGTGAAGAATAGCTAGAGATTTGCAGTCACACAAGTTTTCTGTCCCCGATTCAATTATTGTACGTAGAATTATTTAACTCGGACACTGAGATTGTAAGAAATGTAAAATTGAGGAGAATCACATGGAAACGAGTTACGAAGCAACCATCCACGACTGTAACAACTATCGTTGAATGTCTATTTTAATTTCATAGAATTTACTCAAAAGTTCTCAATCCGAAACAAGAATCAGGAAGAAGCAGATAACAGATCTGCTCCACTCGAATGCTTTTCACATTCCCTCTTCGCAGCACCGTAATACTGAAACCCGGCGCTAGCAACGAACAGTCATGTTATATTAGGCACGTACATTTGACAGCACAAGCATGGCATGTGTGTGTGTGTGTGTGTGTGTGTGTGTGTGTGTGTGTGTGTGTGTGTGTGTGTGTGTGTGTGTGTGTGTGCGTGTGTGTGTGTGCGTGTGTGTGTCACTGTGGGTGGGTGTATGTGTGTGTGCACAGCACTTAGACGCAACAATGGCCAGTATGGCGGCATGGATGGTACCCATTTAGATTGTCGTTTATCGCACTAGATACAGATAGGTAGAAAGGTGTGAGAGTTGTAATGGTGACGCTGTGACAGATGGCAAACTGTATGTGTACTGATATGATTATAGTGTACCAGCAAAGGGCCGTTGCCAAAGTATCCAAGCAGCAGAGGCATCACCTCACGTGACACTTTTCGCTCCTATTTTCACCTGGCGCTAGCTGTTCTTACGTGCTCCCTTTACACGTATATCTACCAATGACTGGCACTTCATTACTCTAGTGTCTATCTGTCTGTCTGCCTGTTGATGATTGCTTTGTGCAGAAGCACCACAGTTAGTAGGACTTAGCCATTTGTTCATTCTTCTCCTGATGGTAGAACACGTATACCTGTGTTTTGCCGGCTTGTTGTTTGCTAGAACCTGACCTGTATTATGAGCATACTGGTGAACTTGTAGTCAGTGGGGGTCAGCTGGCCGAGGACTTTAGAGTACTTGCAGATTACCTGAAAGACACCACCGACTCATACTCATTATGCGGACCTGACGTTGCAACCCTGGACCGTGGACATTTCTTTCAGACGTAAGGATCTCACTGTGTGATTCCTGTGTTTGCTGCTTTTTAGTCATTGCCAATGCCTCTATCTTTCTCTCTCTCTCTCTCTCTCTCTCTCTCTCTCTCTCTCTCTCTCTCTCTCTCTCTCTCTCTCTCTCTCTCTCTCTCTCTCTCTCTCTCTCTCTCTCTCTCTCTCTCTCTCTCTCTCTCTCTCTCTCTCTCTCTGCCCGCGTCACCATCCTCTACTGCTGCTGTCTCGTACGGTGCTCTCCTCCTGTCACCTCCCGGTATGTGTAGGGCTCCCTGCTTCGAAGTACATACATTGTATCAAGAGTACATAACCCCCCCCCCCGTGTACTCTTGATTGTACATGTACATGTACATGCATGTAATCGTGACCATGCAGAGTGACATAGGGCGAGAAAAGGAAGAAGGACGTTCGGCATGAGTCAGGAAAAAGGGCATCAGCATGTTGTGTCCGTCCAAACAGAACTTGTTGAAGCCTATGAAGGCATAGCAACCGTATTTAAATGCATGTGATAAAAGAACCAGAATGGACCTTTGGAGGAGGAGAAAGGATATTGCAATGGAAAATCTTTGGTGCAAACTCTATCTAGAAAGAATTGGAGGAAGAAAATAATCAATACAATCATTTCAGGAAGTACAGAGTAGGAACATTCACAGGCATGACTGTCCACATGACCTTCAGCAGGGTCATACTCCTGATGACATGTAGGTCTACTACCGGCACTACTATGTACTACCTCTATGCTACTTATTGCACACATCCTCATCAATGGTACCGGGTGGACATCCTGAGCTGCTCACATGTGTTAGGTTTCGCTTTTTTTTTATTTTTTTTTGGTCGAATATTGGTCCGGCAGCTGCCGGACCTGCCGGACCGCCTGCTACGGCCCTGTAGTTGCACGGGCTGTTTTCCCTAAGCTGTGTGATTCGATCAGCGACTCCGACATGATCCATCATGAAAGCTGTGTGATTGGAGATTAGTGACTCCGACATGATCCATCATGGAGCACACGGGATTCTGTGTTGGGAGGGCAGCAGAAAGATGTTTAGTTGAGTTAGTATCTATGGTTCAGTCAGATTCGCCGCAGAAGTGCCCTGTACCATGTAGAGTGTACAGTTGGTACTGTATTGTGTTACATCTCTAGGTTCCTGAACAAGACTGCAGAAATTGGAGTTGGACCAAATGTGATAACCTGGCATCAGTAAGTAGTACATACACAATATATACGTAGCTCATGCCTCAGCAACATTGTATTACCACGGTAACCCTCTGTACGGAGACTGGATTTGACCTCGACTCACCCCAATGTTTCAATATTCGCTCCTGTAGGTGAGAGTTTTTTCTTCAACCTTCATATCTGAGTCCTTGGAAATATCCCCGAGAAATGACTGTTACGATAAATTGAATAATTAAAAAGTTTCGATGAAGTACTTAGTTGTGCGACTCGTGCATAAAAAAGCATAAAGTTAATTCCGTACGTTTGCAACGCCGTTTGCAGCCATGGTAACTAGGCCTTTCCCGATTATGTGATTGCATTTTTTGCATTGGGCGGGGGGGGGGGGGAGGGGAAATTGAATTTTTGGGCATTTTTTGCATATTTCCGCATTTTGGCCATATACTGTAACTAGTAATCTGCAGTCCTAGCTGCATACAAATCGTACCCATGCCCGGATCCGGGTCTATACTGGTGTTCGGGGTCATTAGACGCCGTTGTTAGAGAGCAATGCAAAACTGGTCGGAAAAAATGAAACCCAAATCATGATCTGAGAGAAAAAGGAAACTGCAAAGCATGCTAAGGCAACACTTGGCAGAAAATCACAATTTTTATTGTTATAGGTAGCCCCCCATTTTGTTGCCATGTCAACGACATAGACCTTGGCGGATTATGCTGGCATTATTTCTGGCGTGATCATCGAATTTTGTCTAAAAATTATGCCCTGGCATTAAAGGGGTTCATTCGGCCTCTAATGGAGTACTGCCCACTTGTATGGATGGGAGCTGTGGCTACCCATCTCTCACAGCTGGACCGAGTCCAGCATCATGCCCTAACCCTGATTGGGACAGGGGCTGCAATGGACACTCTGTCCCTGCGGTGCCGTGTGGCCGGCCTCACAACCCTGTACAAGCTCCATTACATCACAAGCCCACCAGCTCTTGCAGCGACACGCCCAGCCAGAGCCATCGCACCCGCCATCGCGCCTGCCACACGTCGCCCCTCGGCAGCCAACCTTGCGCACGAGCTTCAACTCCAGACAGCCCTAACTGCCAGATCGTGCAATGTTGCGCTGCGCTCTTTCCCGGAGTGCCTCATCGAAGCCTGGAATGAACTGCCAGCCACTCTCCTCCGCGATGCACCGTCTGCCAAAGGGATGCAGCAGTTGAAGGTTCTGACCTACCTCTACCTGAAACGGTCTGGGTGGTCATTGGCCACGGACATCACCCCCTAGGCTACTGCCATTACGACCTGTTACGTTCCTGTTCTCGGAGCACTCCCTTCTCATCAAACTCCCAATCCATAATATACTATGTCCTTATCTCTCTCTAACTCTCCTCCATTCTCACTCTAATCTTTCGTCAAAACTGCACGACAATCAGGCTCTACTTTTGCCTCAGCATCATGATCTTGATACTGCTATCTTTGTACTTGTTTTTCCTACCCTCAGAGTTCTTGCTCTCCTGCTCCCCGCCCTTCCACTCCCCATTTTGTTTCCTTTGGGGCACATGTGCAGCTGTGATGCCGAGACCCTTGGTCGGCTGAGCTTCACAGGTCCCACCCACTCCGTCCTGCTGGATATGTACCATTGTGTCGAGTTCTTCTCCTCATTTTAGTTCATCATGCAGTGAGTGTTCAATAGTAAAAAAATAAAAAATAAAAAAGGACTTCTGAAACCAGACGGTCGGCATAACCTTACGTCACGATGCTACGGCATTACCTTACGATGTTGGCTATGCTCCAGGCATATTTAGGCATGTTACAGGGAATAGCCTGGTGAATGTTACCCCTTATAAGCCGTGCTGTCATGGTGCCAGAGTCGTTATAACGTTGCAAAGTGCAACAAGAGTGCAGGGTACAATTTAGCACCATCATTGGCATAATTGCAGCCTATAAATGTAGCATAATCGCTGGCATAATTTGGGCATAATGAAGAGCATAATGCAGCAATTTACCGAGCATAATCCGCCAAGGGCTACAACGACAGCATTTGTCTGCATTTTGGGGTGAAAGTTGCATATCTTTTTACATTTAGCTAGATTTAGAATTTGGCATTTCCACCCACGAAAAAGTTGCATAATCGGGAAAGGGTTGATGGTAACTCACGGCTCTAATCTCTAGTGCTACGGGCTTATGCACTGTATGTAGCATTACATCATCGTATGTAGCATTACATCATCGTATGTAGCATTACATCATCGTACTATCTGTTTATTCTCCCGTGATTGCTACTACAGGTACTATGGAAGTGGTCGGACATTCAAACTGGAAGATTTCTATAGTGCCAATGTCTTGGACAAGCTGATTGCAAAGCTTGGTACAGTGAAAGACATGCTGAAGGATGCAGGTCTGCGTCATGCCGAGGTATGGCTGGGAGAGACTTCCAGTTGCTACGGCGGTGGTGCACCGGGGTTATCAGATAGCTTTGTTGCCGGGTTTATGTAAGTTCGGTTTCCTGTAGGATTCCGGCTTAATTGCCGACACAGGTCTTGTGGTGTAAGTCACGGTACAGTTACATGCACTTGTGAACTGTGTGTGTGTGTGTGTGTGTGTGTGTGTGTGTGTGTGTGTGTGTGTGTGTGTGTGTGTGTGTGTGTGTGTGTGTGTGTGTGTGTGTGTGTGTGTGTGTGTGTGTGTGTGTGTGTGTGTGTGTGTGTGTGTGTGTGTGTGTGTGTGTGTGTGTGTGTGTGTGTGTGTGTGTGTGTGTGTGTGTGTGTGTGTGTGTGTGTGTGTGTGTGTGTGTGTGTGTGTGTGTGTGTGTGTGTGTGTGTGTGTGTGTGTGTGTGTGTGTGTGTGTGTGTGTGTGTGTGTGTGTGTGTGTGTGTGTGTGTGTGTGTGTGTGTGTGTGTGTGTGTGTGTGTGTGTGTGTGTGTGTGTGTGTGTGTGTGTGTGTGTGTGTGTGTGTGTGTGTGTGTGTGTGTGTGTGTGTGTGTGTGTGTGTGTGTGTGTGTGTGTGTGTGTGTGTGTGTGTGTGTGTGTGTGTGTGTGTGTGTGTGTGTGTGTGTGTGTGTGTGTGTGTGTGTGTGTGTGTGTGTGTGTGTGTGTGTGTGTGTGTGTGTGTGTGTGTGTGTGTGTGTGTGTGTGTGTGTGTGTGTGTGTGTGTGTGTGTGTGTGTGTGTGTGTGTGTGTGTGTGTGTGTGTGTGTGTGTGTGTGTGTGTGTGTGTGTGTGTGTGTGTGTGTGTGTGTGTGTGTGTGTGTGTGTGTGTGTGTGTGTGTGTGTGTGTGTGTGTGTGTGTGTGTGTGTGTGTGTGTGTGTGTGTGTGTGTGTGTGTGTGTGTGTGTGTGTGTGTGTGTGTGTGTGTGTGTGTGTGTGTGTGTGTGTGTGTGTGTGTGTGTGTGTGTGTGTGTGTGTGTGTGTGTGTGTGTGTGTGTGTGTGTGTGTGTGTGTGTGTGTGTGTGTGTGTGTGTGTGTGTGTGTGTGTGTGTGTGTGTGTGTGTGTGTGTGTGTGTGTGTGTGTGTGTGTGTGTGTGTGTGTGTGTGTGTGTGTGTGTGTGTGTGTGTGTGTGTGTGTGTGTGTGTGTGTGTGTGTGTGTGTGTGTGTGTGTGTGTGTGTGTGTGTGTGTGTGTGTGTGTGTGTGTGTGTGTGTGTGTGTGTGTGTGTGTGTGTGTGTGTGTGTGTGTGTGTGTGTGTGTGTGTGTGTGTGTGTGTGTGTGTGTGTGTGTGTGTGTGTGTGTGTGTGTGTGTGTGTGTGTGTGTGTGTGTGTGTGTGTGTGTGTGTGTGTGTGTGTGTGTGTGTGTGTGTGTGTGTGTGTGTGTGTGTGTGTGTGTGTGTGTGTGTGTGTGTGTGTGTGTGTGTGTGTGTGTGTGTGTGTGTGTGTGTGTGTGTGTGTGTGTGTGTGTGTGTGTGTGTGTGTGTGTGTGTGTGTGTGTGTGTGTGTGTGTGTGTGTGTGTGTGTGTGTGTGTGTGTGTGTGTGTGTGTGTGTGTGTGTGTGTGTGTGTGTGTGTGTGTGTGTGTGTGTGTGTGTGTGTGTGTGTGTGTGTGTGTGTGTGTGTGTGTGTGTGTGTGTGTGTGTGTGTGTGTGTGGTATCTATCAGGAATTCTGGCGTCCATACCGTGACTAATGTAACTACTGATGTGTATAGTCACTTCATGGTGTGTGTGTGTGTGTGTGTGTGTGCGTGCGTGCGTGCGTGCGTGCGTGTATGTGTGTGTGTGTGTGGGGGGGGTGTGTGTGTGTGTGTGTGTGTGGTATGTGATGTGCAGAATGAAGGGAACAGGACATGAATGGCATGCGGAGTACTATGAGATATATATATATATATATAACACTAATACGTGTTTTTTCCAAATTGCCCATGTGGTTAGTACAGCCGGCTTTCATATCGGATTATCTGATAGACTGATAGTCAATGGGAGAATGCGCCCCGAAGTATTCAAGACACCTGTTTCAAGAGGGAAGTCATTGTGGCTGTTGCTATTGGAAGCTGGCCACATACATGTCTGGCTGAGCTTGCTGCGTGTCTGTGCAGAATATACACAGGGCAGTATGTGTACATGTTTATTCCATGCTTGTGTTGTGCAACTACTTGTAGTACTTGTGCATGTAGACTAGAACAATCTGAGCTGTCAGGGCTGCCCATTTGGTATACAATCAATACCGCAACATCAGCAGCAAGCCAACCCCCAGTTTTTCACCAATTGGGATGTGAATATTTCAAATATTTAGGCCTGGACATGTCCAGACTGGCTAAACCGGATGCTAAACCGACCGGCAAATGTTCCCAATATTCACCTCCACCATTCCACTATGTGTTCTCTGTCCTGCCGGTCATGATGACAGGTGGCTGGACAAGCTAGGGCTCACAGCTCTGTACAACTATACACACATCTGTCGGCAAACGCTCTCCGGCGGATCGTACGGTCTGATCGATTCAGCCAGCGGATTACCTTTGCCCGTGAGTGCACACAATGAACTACACGTACTACTGATATACTATTGGGACTACTGGCACTACGTGTGAAATCATGCCGTGCTGTCTGTCTGGAGGTGTGCTCTGTTGTTAGGATTGTTAAGAGTAGTTTCACATCACTCCCGTATATTCTGCTCTCATCCTCTGCACTCTGCAGGATTTCTATGCATCACTTGCGTACAAGCAGCTCATGGGTGACAGAGCACTGTCAATCCAAGGTCAGCTAGAGCGGGGCAGGAAGGTGCGAGTGTACGCCCATTGCACACGCATTCTACCCGGAAGGTAACTGTGTACACGTATATCTCTCCTATCCAGACCTCCAAGTACGTTACGGGCTCCTCAGTCTACCGAGAACCCTGTGGGTGAGGTTTAGTGGAAAGATTACTACTCGCCAATTATTGTGGAAGGTTATGTGCAAGGTCTAGTCTTTCCCTATCAAACCATGCGGGATTTATAGTTACCGCGGACATTTCCAAATTATGGGCAGTGTCCAGTCTCGCACCGGCCAGATAAAAGAGAAACGTATGTGTGTGTGTGTGTGTGTGTGTGTGTGTGTGTGTGTGTGTGTGTGTGTGTGTGCGTGTGTGTGTGTGTGTGTGTGTGTGTGTGCGTGTGTGTGCGTATGTATGTGCGTATGTGTGTGTGGGCGTGTGTATGTGCATACGTGCGTTTCTGCCCTATGTTACGACTGTATTGTTGGTGTTGTGTTTAAATGCTCAATTCATCTGCTGGTTTGGGAGCAGTGGTGTACATTCTGCAAAGCAACACATTACCTGGCTTTGGTCATACAGCTTAGCTTAGTGTTAAAGGGGAAGTCCGGTGAACAATTTAAATTTCACAGTTCGTAGAGTTCTGGGCGCTGAGTCGAATGGTCTTTGTCCAAGGAGGCTGCGGCCTATGGTTTGTCAGATACGCCCAATCGAACATGTGCGAATTTGAGCGCGCATCACCCAGATCCAAGTGATGACGTCACAGCGTGCAGCCAGGTAGCCACACTATCTAGTTGCGTACAAAATGGCCATATTCGGAGCGCGTTCGATTGGGGAACCGTTTGTCGCAGCTTCATCGGACAAGACCATTCGATTCAGTGTTACAAACACTACGTACCCTGTGATTTTCAGCTCGGTAAACCTCGAGGTTATACTGTATTTTAGCCGTTTCCGACTTGGACTTTTTCCGTCGGCATGCACTGGCCTCTACTACTGTACTTGTAGTCCACGGCTCTAGCAATGCGCTGCGTACATGCTAGCTGTAGTGTAGTCAACAAACTCATCACAAACAGAACTACTACAAGACTTGCAAAACTAGTCAACACGCGGACTCAGAAAACTTGTCAGCACACAGACCTGTCATGTACTACACTCGTATCAGTCGTATTGTCTACAGTCATGTAGTCAGAGAACGTGCGTTTCTCCTTGCCGGTGCCGGTGCTTGTGCTTTGAGAAAGAAAATTTTAGTTTTCCGCTCCCGGCCCGCCTCATTATTTTATGCTACAGCGATGAGTGCACAACCGTGACAAGTGACAAAACAGCGAACAGCTCCCGGACCTAGAACTTTCAGATCCTGTAGCGTTGCGAGCGAAGAGTCGTGCCCGCCGGTGGTTCAAAGAGCCTGCATTGTTCTCCAATTGAGTAGTCCGAAATATGCCAAGTTCGCACCAAAACATCACCATGTGGCAGGCTACTGGAGTCTAAGCGAATCGGCATGGAACAACATTTAGAGCACTCGCATCACTCTTCTCCATTTTGGCGACTCAGCGATCTGATAATTATATCAGCCTCGTCTGCAATAGCTGCTGCTTCTTCATCACTCTTGACCGGCCCGCACGGCCATTTCTTCATCAGCTGAATGCCGAGGTTATCAGCCCCAGACCGAACTCATGAAGGTCAGCCATGGCTGCATCCTCACTCTCACAAGGAGTTACGTCTTCGGGGTCGCTTGCACCACCTACTATCGGTCGCCAAATCATTTGAAATAGCACTGACACTATTGCTTTCACGCACTCCTTTCGACCTAGCTGCACGCTATGACGTTGCGGAGGGTGTGGCGCGGCTGCATGACGTCATGGCGCAGCCCCCGAAACTCAGTTTTTCAAACTGAAATATCTCGAGAACGCTTTGTCGGAGACACGTGGGACGAACACCATTCGACTCAGCGCCCGAAACTCTACCTACCCTGAAATTTAAATGTTTCACCGGACTTCCCCTTTAAGTGCAGTGTTTCATCTTGTGACCATCCAGTACTCTTGAATGGTCTATGTGATGTATATCACTACCATCAGCACATCTCACAAAGCGTTTACTCCTCCCCCTCCCCCCCCCCTTCCCAATACGTTTCCGTTATTGCCCATTCCATCTCTCATGATTTGTCCGGAAACTTGCACCTTTGTTTAGTTTTGCACTGTCCGGTGTGTACACGATATGCATGTCGGTGCGCTATTAGAAAGAATAGGAATGTGAAAGCATGCCCCGGCCGGCCCCTGGTGTTGCATCCTCATGCAAAGGGATAGAGCTGGAACTGTTGTCCGGCAATTCTTTTGCTACAGTTTTTGATTCCTTCTGTTTGCCTACTGTTTTCTTTGTGTTGTTGTTGTTGTCCAGTGAATACAAACCCGGCTCTATAACAATCATGGCAATGAACATTGATAGAGATACCGATGCACAGATGAGGCTGGACAGTCGCTTTGATCACACCGTAGTTGCGCAATACCTTTTCCAGCCGGTGGATTCTACGCCCACAAGCAAGTAAGCTGTGTAAAGTTAGCCTTTCAACTCACTCTTGTGTGCATGTTCAAACCCCAGTAGCCTATACAGTGCACTTCTACAGAGCATCCACGCCATGCATGTCTGGGGGAGTACTGGCAGTATTCTGGCTAGCCGCAGTGTCAGGCCCAGGAGTCTTGGGAGGCTGTGTGTAGGCGTGCTAAGAGTTAAAGATCTCTGTCACAATGTGTCTGTTCCGAATGGTCTCTAACAAGTACAGGTTCCGGTTGGACTGTCTAGTTGTGTGGGGTGCTCTTGCTGGCTGGGTTTATTCAATCTGTGCTTAAATACTTATCATTGGTCCATGACTTTTCATCCCCCTGTACCGATCGGGTCGATTCATTCTATGCTGGCTGCTAATCACTGGTTCACTCCCCTGTACCAATGGTCTTCTCTCAACAGATATGTAATGCTGAACCGTAATGTGCTGGGACTGATTGAAGGCAAAACAGTGCCTATACTGCGGCCCGAGCTGGTTGTCATACCAACCAATGGTACCATCCAGGTCCCTGCCATGTCCTACGCATTCTTTGTACTGCCAACCGCCAATGCAACGGCTTGCTTGTGATTCCACACCTCTGAGCAGTGAGTTATGATGTCATCATCATCATGAGTAAATACATGACTCACACCAGCATGCATGTTAAGCTGCGAGTTATGATGTCATTATCAGTATGAGTCGCGCCAGCATGTATGTGATGTCATATCTCTGAAGTCTGAAGCAGTGAGTTGAAATGTGATCATGAGCCACCATCCATGACTCGCGCGTCCACCAGCATGCATGCAACGTCATACCACTGCAGCCTGCAGCAGTGAGGTATGATGTCATTATGAGCATGACTCATGCGGGCATGCGTGTGACTTCAGATAACTAGCAATCAGCCACAGTACCGGCCTATTGTGGTCTCTGAACCCAGTTGCATTGACGCTTCTACTCCAAGACAGGTGTGGTTTCACGGCGAAATGGCTTCTGAAAAAGTTGCATTTACGGTCACCTGTGCTTGACATCTCTCCTCCATTGTATACTCAATCTTTGGACAACAACTAGCTGTTTCAATCTTGACACGTCTCATCAGCGGAGCGCAGAGTGAGTGCGACTGGCCGGACCGTGTCTATTATTGGTGTGGATCCAGATCACGAGAAGAGTCTGGATCAATAGTAGTTGACTCTTTTTGAACATAAGTATTTTTTAAATAGTTGACCCAGTTTGATTAAGATTCCTAGAAACTGAAAATGGGCATAACAGACTCTAGACTCATTTCCCTCAAGATCTCCTACATTTTGTACATGTATTTTGGCTTGATGTTGTTTGCTCCTTCCATATTGATCAAGGACTGCATACATAAATGCAGCATTGGACAAGACTGTCAGTTTTGTTCCTGCAGGGCAATTTCAAAACAGGGAAAGAAAGGATAGCGATGCTGTCGAAATAATAATGGGGGACAATAAATCATATATGATGGTCAGGTTTTTTGTGCTTCTATTTTTTTTAAGTAGCCATTCTATTCTTTGATCATAGGAAGGAGAAACAAGTCGGAAAATCTACCGGAGAAAAAAATGATTACTTTTATAGCCTATCCTGGCTCTGAACTTCACACCTAAAATGATTGGTCAACTGCCCTCAGCCAATCATAGTTCAGCCAGTGATTTCTTCTTGGCTTTCTGATGGCTCAGAGTTCAGCAAGTGTTCACTTCTTGGCTTGCTGATGGATGATCTCTTGTTATTTCTGCAAGAGGAAAACAAACCGGAAAATTCTATCAGAGAAGGAAATCTAAACTTCTTTAAAAAGGCACATTACAATAAGAGCGAGGGGAGAAAAGGAGAGGGGGGGGGGGGCACAGAGACAGAAACTAAACAGAAAGTAGGGATAATGAGGAGGGGTGTGGTAGTAGAAACAAAGAGTGAACGACCCAAGAGGGTGCATTACATTGATGGATAGAGATGGGGCCGTAATGCCTTCTTTGAATTATGTGACCGTATTGCACAATAATGTGAATTGGGGAAAGGGAGTAAGGAACAAGACAAGAACAAATCTAGGTAGTTTCAGAAATAGCAACACAAATGAACAAAGTTCTTCCAGGCTCCACTGCAGCCATTTACACAGTGGAGTCCCTCAACTTAACAACAGCATCTTTGCTGCATACGCCACTTGAAATGTTCACCACATTTTCTGGCCTGGCCCATCATCAGGAACTGGAACTGAACTGGACTGTTCTGGCTGAAAGAAGTGCCCAATGCCCATAAGAGCAGATCTAGTCCCCACACCCGCTACAGGGGATTACCTAAAAGGGACTGAACCCAGTGGTTACAACAAATCCCAAGCACAGTACGTTGTAGTTCATGTGACTACAGCGTACTGTTACATGTCCATGAAGCACAACGTACTGTGCTTGGGATTTGTTGGGCCACTAAGGGGTCGTCGCAAAAGTTTTCTGTCGTCCCTGAAACGAACATTGTTCATTTCGTACTCGGACCCCCTCCCCTCCCTCTGAAACGAACACAGCTTGCTATGCTGGACGACGAAAATCGCATGCATGTACATGTCATATGTACAGTGTCGGTCGACTTGCGATTTTGGCTCGCACCCCGATTCAAACCTTTTCTCGCACGTGACCCCAAAAAGTGACAGTTGGTGCAACCTTGAATAAGCTCTATAATCAGGGCTCGAAACTCGGATGTTGAGCCAATAATAAAATGTAAAAAGGAAAAGGACGTATGGATACAATGTCAATATCAGTTTCATGCCTAGTTGCTGCACTCTCTCGGACTGTATAATGTGTATATACAGTCGTTGCCAAAACTTTCCGGCAAATGCCTCGGTACATGTACTGTGGCATGGTGCCTGTCGCATGCATGCATGCATTTACCATGTTTACAGTAGAGCCTACCAGCACAGCACTGAACTAAAACAGTCCGCGCTGCACTCTGCCTTCTGCAGTCGAGTCGAGCACAGACTGACTGCACTGCATGCAGAGTGCAGGCCCGACAGCACTCGGAGCATGTGCCATGCACTAGGCTCAGTCCTAGCGCATTGCATTAGCAGTGGCAGTGCATGTGGCCACGTACAGCTACTGATAGCTAGTAGCATAGCATTAGCAGTGGCAGTGCATGTAGCCACGTACAGCTACCGATAGCTAGTAGCATAGCATTAGCAGTGGCAGTGCATGTAGCCACGTACAGCTACTGATAGCTAGTAGCATAGCATTAGCAGTGGCAGTGCATGTAGCCACGTACAGCTACCGATAGCTAGTAGCATAGCATTAGCAGTGGCAGTGCATGTGGCCACGTACAGCTACTGATAGCTAGTAGCATAGCATTAGCAGTGGCAGTGCATGTAGCCACGTACAGCTACCGATAGCTAGTAGCATAGCATTAGCAGTGGCAGTGCATGTAGCCACGTACAGCTACCGATAGCTAGTAGCATAGCATTAGCAGTGGCAGTGCATGTAGCCACGTACAGCTACCGATAGCTAGTAGCATAGCATTAGCAGTGGCAGTGCATGTAGCCACGTACAGCTACCGATAGCTAGTAGCATAGCATTAGCAGTGGCAGTGCATGTAGCCACGTACAGCTACCGATAGCTAGTAGCATAGCATTAGCCGGATCTTTTTGGCGACTCGACTGTAGTATCTAGGTACAGTAGTGGACAGTATCCATATGTCCTTTTCCTTTTTACTTAATCAGGGTTCACGGACATAATTCATAACCATTTACAGGCTCAAATTTGCATCGACTGGAAATTATAAAAGGAAAGTTTGAGACTCACTTGATCTGCAGAAGACGTCCGCAGCCGTTATCATATTTACGGCACCGGTGGTGCCACCACGTGTAATGTTGAACATTTGTACACGATGTATATGTAACTTAGCTCATACTGGAAACCTGAGTATGAGGCTGATTGAGATACAGTAAGTGCAGTCTGCTGCTGCTGGGACTAGACCTGCCAGTTGTCGGGACCATGGGTCTGCGAGCAGACACAGATACAGATTGTATACAAACACAGAGAGGGACAGGTGTCAGGGGAGGGGGTTCCACGGAACCCCCTAAACTGCAAATGTACTACATGTGCTGGGAACCATATGCATGTACATGTGCCAGCTATTCAGTTTTGCCTATACTGGAAACCAAATGTCGCAACATCTTAGTTCATTCTGTTCTGTTGTCCCTGGAGAGGGATGCGAATAGATGGTTAGAGATGACCAAACCAGAGGTAGCTGTGCATTTCGGCTTTATTCCCGGCATTCCTCTCTAAGACTTATTCAGCATTGGAATCTCCGGAACAGCTCTTCAGTAGTTCGAGACTACTTGACTTTGTCGCCAGCAATTTGTGAATATCCGTAAATACACAACAGTCATGGTGGATGGTCATACCTTTTGCATTTTGACTGTCAAACAGTTTGCCGCGGTCGAATATCACCCTTCATTTCACATTGGGCGCGTTCAATTACACACAAGTCCGTCCTTTCAAGAAATAGTTACGGTGCATGCACCGTTCGACTACAAGTACACAAATAATGAAGTCCGTCGATTCTTTGTCCAGATTTAATTTCCCTAGGGATAGGGTTAGAAATATCTGCAAGCAGATCGGCGGTAGGGCGGCAAAACGCAGAAAGATGTATGAAAAATGCAAAGCAATGTATAAATAAAGTGCAGTGGAAGATATAGGAACACAAAGCAATGCAAGAGAAAAATTGAACGCAATAGCAAAAGTTAAAAAACGCAATGATGTAGGTGGATGAGTCGTGTATTGTGAAAAAGAGAAAGAAACTGTCCAAAGGGAGATGGTGATAAGCTTATTTCTGCACTATGAAAGGAGTGCTTCATCAGACCAATGGAGTCAAAAGTGGATGAACAGTTTCTTATCAATAGGATTTAGGTGTGTTGGTGAAAACAATAGGAGGTGTGGAAAAAGACGGCTGGGAAGTGCGAGTCTCAAACATGTTTATGTTTAAGATAGCTGTAGTGGATGCACATCCCACTGTTTGTCATTGTATCCTTTTATGTAACATGTATGCATTCATCCGGCCGCGCTGTGCGACATGCCAGTTGTACCGTACGCACTTTAGCTGTACTTGCCTGCCTGGCTTTTCCTTTGATCTCTCTGTCGTTCTCTGTATTCCCACACACTTGTGATTTGTAGTAACGAAGCTAGTTACAAGATGTCTTTGGTGCGTTTGTAGAACCACTACAATAGCTGGCCAGACATTTTGTCTTTTTCCAAGCGATGAATGGCGCCTGGCCCAAAATAGTGTCAAGTTTGTGCTTGGTCCAGAGGGTTCTTAGCACTTTGTTGAGATCTGTCAGGCCAGGGTGGTATGGGAGTACGAGTGGTGGTGTGGTGTTGGTTTTAGTGTGAGCAGGTCGTCTTCGGTGTGTAGAGGAGAGTGCAGCGCTGACTACAGACTTAGAGTAACCACGTTCGATTAGTTTTGAAGCTAGAAAGGAACGGGTACCTAAGGAGGTAGCTTCAGTTGTGGATCCTCTGATATTGATCCTATTGATAAGAAACTGTTCATGCACTTTTGACTCGATTGGTCTGATGAAGCACTCATATAGTGCAGAAATAAGCTTATCACCATCTCCCTTTGGACACTTTCTTTCTCTTTTTCACAATACACGACTCATCCACCTACATCATTGCGTTTTTTAACTTTTGCTATTGCGTTCAATTTTTCTCTTGCATTGCTTTGTGTTCCTATATCATCCACTGCACTTTATTTATACATTGCTTTGCATTTTTCATACATCTTTCTGCGTTTTGCCGCCCTACCGCCGATCTGCTTGCAGATATTTCTAACCCTAACCCTTCGGCCGGGGTGTGCACAACAATGAAACCTTTTCGCTCCTCACGGAGAAAGCACGTCAGTACTGAACAACTGGACGACTCGTCTAGTACAGTATTTAACAGAACCACACATACTAAATTACTACAAACAAATAAAACCCCATTGCGGGACACTCCAAATTTTAATACTACAAAAACAAACACCCCTAACACAGCTTCGCTCCTGCTCACCCATACATCGCCAACCCTAACAAGCTTCCTCACTACTACGGCCACTGTGATTTCTTGCCACAGCCCAGTCTTCTCTTCCCGCCCACAGTCGCCAATATACTCTACGGCCACTACAAACATACATACCTCGTCACCACCCTCAGGTACGTCCTGAGACACTGACTGGGACCCACAATTAATACAACCACCCGCCGTAGCTCTAGTATCGATGCCTCCGCCGCAGACTGACGGCGCCACGCTTTTCGCTAGCCCCGCTGCCGCGGCCGTCATTAATCCGCCATCGGCCGTCATTGATCCGCCACCGGCCTCCGCTACGACTGTACCGGCTCATACACCACCCACCGAT